CTAAGAGTCCATGTTGATGGACTAAGGGGTTCATTGTCTTCAGTAGTGAATTCGGCCAGGCCTTGTAATAGAGGCTAGGCTAAACCCATATGGCTTATGTGGAGATCAATGATGGGGTCCCACGCCATACAAAGAGAGCCAAGCTAGCCAGCATTCAAAAGGAACTGAGACTGAAAGCTTAATGGTCCTAAGGCCCAATTCGAACTGGGCTAATTAGATTAGTTAAGAGATGGGCGAATTTGAGTTTAGATCTGCTTCTAAATCAGCAAGAGGATAGGATATGTCTTATCCACATAGGATCTCTGATCCAAATAAAGATTTTGATCAAAGAACCCTTTCATGATATGATTAGGAAGCTGATCCAAGAAGGATTATAAATAGAGGGACTTCTATAAAACACTTTTGCAAATCTCAGATCTTCTCTCAGTTCTTGCCGCCCTACCCTGTTCGATCTCTAGTTCTTGGAGTGATCAAGATTCGATCTTGATATTATTTCTTGCTAGAAGAAACAATCATGAAGTTGTGCTCACATCCCTACGTGATTCTTGCTAAGAATTGGGGTTCTTGCTGAAGAATTGGGGTTCTTGCTGAAGAATTGGGGTTCTTGCTGAAGAATCTCTTTGTTGATCCTGCCTCACCCTAAGTTCTGTCATCTTCAGTAGAGGAAGGATTTGGTGAACTCTTTGGGCGTGAACACCTACGTTGGGAACTACTGTTGATTCTGTATTAGGTGTATCCCTCCCTTAATCTTGGTTTCAGATTTGGTCTGGTTTGTTTCAAGAACAAACCTTGAAAAATGCAGTTTTTCTAAAACAATGAATAGGATTTTCGAATGGGAGAAAGAAATTTTTGAAATTTTGCCCGGCCACCCTGCATGGTTCGACCATCCATATGATAGATCTCCCTTCCCTTCAATTAGTGACTCCAAAGCCCGAGGCACTGGCTAACCAATTTGGGTAAGACTCAGATGAGAGAGGGAAGGGGTTAGGCAACCCTCTCCTAGGTCTAATAAGTGGGGCCCACATGGGATTACAAATAAGCACAAATTAAAGCAAGCAATTCATTAACTTTGTAAGAGCAATTAATACACATTAAAGCTAAACAAAACCTTCAATAAACCATCACAATAAAATTCCCTTAATTAAAAACCGATTGACACAACTAATCATGCAACTTGTTGTAATTAAACATCTAAACTCAACACTGGGTAAGATTTATGCTAAATTGGGTCTTAACCATCGTAGACGTAATAAAAATCAAATCAAAACTCAAAGCTCCCAACTCTTCTCAATTAAATAGGATTCAATCATCAAAATTGGGATTGGTTAAATACTGAAGAGTAGTAATAACTAAACATAGCAAGAACCGATCGGTTATCTCTCAACGAAAAGCATCTGAGCATAGGTATTTCTTGCAGAATATAGAATATAGTTAAAAGAGAGCAAGCAGGACCTCATCGCCAAATCTGTCGGCTCTCTTTTTTTTTATAACATTTATCCCTCCTAAGTAGCATTTGTTTCATCTACTATACATAGATTAAATGGTTTAATTCGAACTACTTAAATCAATAGAACTAAGTAAACATTAGCAAGTAACAAAACATAAATAACACACTGGGATTAGCCATAAACATGGCAAATGGAAGAGATGACAGATTAATAGAATGAAAGAGGGGAGAATGACTCTGTCTTAAACTCAAGACCTATTTTTTGGATTTCGACTCAACCTAATCTAATCTTCATAGAAAAGAGAAGAAAAAGAAAAATAAAAACAAAACAAAACAAACTCATTGGAAAACTAGCAAAGATAATCATCAAGACGAAAAAAAACTAATAGCACTTACCTGTCTAGGGATGTTGGCCTGAAACCGGATGCTACAACGAGGGAATTACTACTTAATTTCTTTGACAACAATGATGATAGAGGACTGCAGCCGAGGGATTAGCAAAGGATGACTCTACTTTGGATGCTAATCATGTTCAAAACCAAGGAATGCCGAAACATTTGAGCTGCCACTGGTACTCAATGATTCTGTTCGATTGGCGACCATCACAAAAGAAAATAGGGTTGCGGTTGGGGTTCTAATGAAGATGAGAATCTGGAGGTTGAGGGGATAGTGACAGAAATGAAGAAAATGTAAGATCAAGGGGTTTAGTTGTCGCTAGTTACATCTGAACGCAGTGCTGCAATGATTTACAGCGATGGGAGATACACCTAGGGGTGATTGGGGCAATATAGAGGGAGTGATGGAAAAGGAACGGAGAAATGGGGAGAGAAGAATGCTCAAAAGGGGTGAGGAGATTGTCGCCGCTCCACTTCTGGTTCGAGTGAAGAAGGGGATGAACACCCTTCCTTCGAATTCTCTGGATTAGGGTGAATGAAGATGTTTAGGTTGAATTTATATGGGAGGTAGGGGCAATCTCATAATTTTGGAGAATTTGAGGGGGCATTTTGCTAATTTTTGGTAAGCTAGGCTAAATTGGGCCCAGGGGTTAAACTGCGTTCTTGGTTCAATGATGGGTGGTTCTAGGTCAAAAAAGTGGAGGGTTGAGATGAGTCTGGCTACAAAGAGTGAGTTTGTGTGTGAGAGCTAACAGGATTGGCCGAAATTGAATCTTTTTTTTATGGAAGGTTTAATGAGGGTATTTATCGCTGAAATTTTATAGGGTGGGGTTTTCGGACATTCTGAGTTGGTTGGTGCAGTCAAATTGGCCCAACTGGGTCTGGATTGGGCAGATCTGGAAAGGGCTCGATTCGATTAATCTAGGGGCTCAAAATGGAATCTTTGTGTGATTGAGGGGCAAACAAGGTTTCGTAAGGTTAGATTAAGCCAATTGGGGATAGTGAAGAAATGAAATTTCATAGGGTAGGATTTTTGGGTACTCTGAGGTGATTGTTAAGGTCAGATTGAGCCAATTGGGCCTGGATTGGGCAGATTTGTAATCCGGTCAATCTAGGACCTTAAAATAAAATCTTAATGTGATTGAAGGGTAAACAGAGGTATTTTGGGATGGGATTTGACATGTAGGGTTTTTTGGCATTCTGAGGTGATTGGCCGGGTTTGATTGGTTTAGATGTGTTTGGATTAAGTGGATATGGGTTATGGGTGCGAGAAAGGTCAAAATGTAATCTTTTTTTTATGAGTAGGAAAATGAAGGAATCTTGAGTTCAAATTTCATGGGTATGTGTCTTGGGAGGTCCTGGATCTTATGGTTGTGTCTGATCTAGTGGTCGAGGTGTAGATGAGGGGTGATTAGGGTCATCGAATTGGTATCAGGTAGGTTTAACAGTAGATCTAAGGGCTCTTAGGGTGAAATTCAAGTTTCTTAGGTTTTTGGGTGTATCGGAAGGGTCTAAATGGGGATTTGGGGTGAATTGGAGGTTCAGGTAGCGGACCGAGCAAAAATTGGATGCTAACAACTGCCCTTCTTTGTTGTGAGGTAAAAAACTACGAAACAACAAAGACCAAAAGAAGCACACAAAGACTTTTGTG